GCGATCCTCCTGCCTCTGCCTCCTGAGTGCTGGGATTATAGCAGTGTGCCACCATAGCTGGCTTTAACATTCTTAAAGCATATTTCAAGTAAAATCCTAATTTTTTTTTGCATAGTACATGCAAACTTCACTTATGAGTCACCTGTGAATACAGGGCTGTTGCATGTGCCACTAGGGTCATAAGAAGCCAAACTGGCAGCAGTGAAATAGATGTGCCAGATCTTTTGTTTCTGAGATGAAGGCTCACTCTGTTGCCCAGGTCGGCCCTGAACTTCGGGGCTCAAGTTGTCTTCTTACTTCAGCCTCCCAAGCGCCTGGGACTTTAGGAGCGTGCCATGGTGCCCAACCTGAGATCCTCATTCCTGGTGCTGTGTGGCCACAAACCACTCAGATCCCCTTGAGAGGATGACCAGGAATGAACTGTAAGCAATAGTGCAGGGCAGGATGCAATAAACCCCGGAGGCCCCAAGTCATGGGTAGTAAAGCGTCACACCTACACTAACATGGATCCCTACCTTCTTTTCTTTGGGTTTTTTGAGACAGAGTTTTGCTGTGTAGTTCAGGCAGGCCTTGAATTCATTTTGTAGGCTAGGCTGGCCTCAAACTCACAGTAATCCTCCTGCCTCAGCCTCCTAGGTGCTGGGATCACAGTGTGCCACCACAGCCAGCCTGGGCTATTTTCATTTTCCAGATGCCTACAGAGAATTACAAGGGAACGCGGCAGCTAGGCACACTCTCACCACCTACCTTTTCACGCGCTCCTGCTCACTGGTGTCCAGTGCTGTCAGGGTTCGGGCATAAAGGACAACGATGTCACTGTGCTTGGCCTTCTTGTTGCACTAAAGATTCAGCGGGACAAAGTGAGTGTGACTGCAGGAGTTCTGACTCAGCGTGCTAGGTCTTTACTACGGTCCTTACCTGCGGACACTTTCGTGTTTGCCCTCTGAGCCACTTAGAAATGCATATGTATCCAAAGAGGTGGCCACAGCGTAACGCTGAGAGCCGGTGGTTCCCAGCACTGGTCCACTGTTCGAAACATATGGTGCAAATGTCCCCTTCCTCCTCTTCACCCATGGAGGCAGTCGGCAGAGGGGTGCTGGGCTTCCGGGGAGACTGCTGGACGAAAATCGGAACAGGTTCAAATGAGAAAAGGCATAATCAGTCTTGGTGGGCATGGGGGGTGGGTGTGTTTACTATCAAATTGACAGAAGTGAGCAAAAATCATACAAACCTAATTGAAAAGACTGCAAGAAAGCTTCAACTTGTCATTTGTCTCCCCCCAGAATATGTTCTGGTAAAATGAAAGTATAAGCAATGAGATTTTTTTTTAAGTGCTCGGGATTGAACCAGGACCTTGTATGCACACACATTCTCCCTGAGACACATTCTAAGAACATATTTTCTTTTTTGTTTAGTTTTTTCCAAACAGTGTCTCACTAAGTATTTCAGACTGGCTTTCAACTACCATGGAGCCCAGTCTACCCTTGAACCCATGGAGATCTTTCTGCCTCAGCCTTCTGGGTGCTGAGATTACAGGCACGTGCCACCATGCCTAGCACAACATTTTGGATTTTATTAAATTCATTCAAATAAAGAAAAGCAGGGCCAGGGACACAGCTCAATGGCACAGTGCCTGCCAGGCAACTGCAAGGTCCTGAGTTTGATTCCTGGTACCAAAAAAAAAAAAGAAAAAAAGAAAAGAAAAGCAGCTATCTGTAAGAAGATACTTTAAAAATACTCTATCAACTACCAAGATCATTAACAGTAGAGACTAGTAGGTTTGTTATACACTCAAAATTAGGTTATCAACTCAGATATGCACAG